CTAGTGATCAGCACTATTGGATGAGAGAGACTGAGCTACAGCCTTCAACCAACAGGACAGACTGATCTATCTGTTCCTTGTCCAGGTGTGGGAGAGTCCTTGAACTCCCTGCCCTACCCCAGAGCCAAGAAGAGGTTCCTGAGGCACGAGCAGAGCCCAGCCTCATTGCCAGCATGCCAGGCATCATCACAGAGCCACCATGCATGAAGGGATGGCAATGGGCTGTGCCACAGTCCTTGGGGAGCATCCCTGCATCGCATCCATGTGGGTGCAGCCATGTCATCCTTTCCACAGGCAAAGATAAGGAAAGGAAAAAACCACTGGGCTATGGTTATATGTCTGTATTCTCCCTTTTATTAAATGAGCTTATTGTTTATATAACTCATACCTCTGCCCATTTAAAACGCAAGGAGCCCCTGCTCTCCTGCTGGCATGAATCAAGAGCACACACTAAAATGCCAGTGAATCATGCTGCTATAAATTCAGCTTGAGCCTTAAAACATGTTAGTATCACATGTGACTTCATATTCAAGGGAAAACGAACACAAAATGAATGAGGTGGGACTGAAGATCTGTCCCTTCAGAGTCCATTTGCTGGGTTTTCAGTAGAGCTTATCACTGTCCTGTCTGGCTCTTGGCTTCGTTTCTTTGGTTTTGAAAGATATCTACTGAAATGGCAATGGAAATTCATGCAGTATACTTGCATGCTTCCTCAGTGATATTGGTTTGGCTAATATAATACTGTTTATCTAATATTTTCTAAGAGTTGGAAACTAGATTCTGATCCAAGAAATGTAACTCTTTAATCACTTAAGAAAGCTCAGTGACATCAATGTGTAAAAGTGCAGAATTTGATTAAACATCCTGCTAATTTTTCATTATTTCTATGCACTGTGTGATGCTCGTTCATATTTCTAATTACTCCTGCATTTCCCCAATTTATATAGAACATAATATGAAAAACAAAAACCCAGACATTTGTTGTTTATCCACTGAGCATTTGTAACATGAAGTTACAGTTCAACAAACTGAAGCACAAGTATCCATGTGTGCACACGCTGCCTTTACTCCACAAACAACAGAATACAGTGACTAAAAGGAAGACCAAACATATAGGTTTGCAAGGGTTGGTTTGTGCTCCTCTATGCTCTGTTCCAGATGCACAGTTTTGCCAAGACTCAGAGGCAGGCAGAATCCATGTGAATGGACATCTGAACATAGGTTTGGCAAAGCACTTACTTGTGCGTATGTAATCTAGAATCAGATAGGCTAAAACTGGTATCATTACTTTAAAAGAGAAATTCTGAACACTGGAGTAATTACTTGGATATTTAGTTAGTTATTGTTAGACATTTGAGGCCATTAAATAGGCCTTGGTTCATGTAACAAATATTTAACCGCTGATAACTCCCTGCAAGATTAGAATGGTGCTCAATAACCCTTGAACAAGAGAAAAAATTAAAACTGCCTATTCCCAGCTATTCATTTTCTTGGGATAATGGAAAAAATCAATTTCCTAAGGACAAAGATACAACCTGAAGTGTCTGACATAGAAATGGGAAAGAAGTAATTGGCATACCTGTGAAATTCAGAGTAGTAAACACATTGTGCTTTTTTAATTTTCTTTTGAATGGGAAGGAAGCAGAGGGCTTTGAATTATGCAGATATAGAAAAATGTTAATTCGTAAATGTACATGGAATATTGATTGAAACACCTATTCTTTTCAGCTACTTACATTTAGCCAGAGAACCTCCTCTTTAGAAATAAAAATTGACCTCTGTTCTTTCCTTGCAGCTTTGCATGTCGTACCTTTAAGAGAATGAACCCATCCTGAACTCGATGCAGTTTGCTCTTTTCCTGCTGTAGCACAAATCTTGGAGAGATTATAACCAATTTAAGCAGGATGGAAGATTCTGTTTCTAACTAGCTGGAAGCAAACCGCTAAGGAAACCAGCAAGGGAAAATTAGAGGTATTCACAACAGTCTCCAGCTTGGATTACATGTATCTTGAAAGCACTAGCAGCAGATGCTGGTGGAAGTGATTATGCATTGGATCATATGCACATCCTTCTGGCTGCCAGCATCACTTAGGCACATTTTGTACTGTAGGAAAAAGCCCCTCCAGTTTACAGGAAAAGGAGCTCAAAGTATACTGCAGAAGGCACCAAAAATCACAGCGTTTAAAGGAGCTCAGCAATCACTCTGCTGCTTCGGGGCCCAAGCCTGCAGGATCAAAGCTTTAAGTAAACCACAGGATTGTGGAGTGTTGCCTTTCAGGGACTTCAGCATTTTGCTATACTTTAATTTATAGATATAATAACACTTTTAGTGAGAAAAGGACTCTTTTCTCTCTCTTTTTTTTTTGGCTGACATAGGCTGTTACTAATTAAGGCAGTTTTCTGCATTTATGTAAATAGTAGTTCTAAAAGCTTTTGCTAGGTTACTTTATTCTGTCTAGACTCTAGGTTGCAGATCTCATTATACAGCTCTGCAGTCTACTTGACAGATCCTTAGACACACACAGCAAATGGCTTTGGAGGTGCCTCCACTATATCCATTGTACTATTGCTCTCTTTTATGTTAAAGAACTACAATAGAATTCGGGATTTTTTTTTTTTTCAATCAATTTATTGACATTCTCTGATTTTTCAGTATGGAGTCTCATTAGCTTTGGTTCTGACTTCAGTTGTCCTAGATTTTCACTCTTCCAAGTGAAAATTCTTGTTCTTTACCTCTATACATGTTGCTGCCTTTTTTCTGCTGCTGAAAGCCCAGTAGTCTTTCTCATGCTTTCACTGAGGATCCAGGAAAGTGGCAGTGTCTGAGGGTCCTGCAGGGTGACTCTGTTTACTGCTTGGACTCACTAGAGGTCAATTCTGACAGAGGGAACTGATTCATTGTTCATCTGTTCTAGGCTCACGAGAGCATCTGCCAAGGTGGCTAATCTGATTGTGTGCTTCCACTGACAGTGGTTATGGGTTTATTTTATAGTTCGTTGTCCGGATGCGTTAACTGATATTACAACCACAAGGCTCCCATGTCCCAGCCTAATACGCATTAAAAGCTGCAATTTATCACTTTCCTGCCCATAAGAAAATATGATCTGCTGAAAGACAGGCAACCTGGTATGTGGCTTCTTTAATCTTTGGGGGTTTGTCTTTAACTACATAAAAATAAATAAGGCAGCTTGGGCCTACACTTTATAACAAAGGAAACAAAACAATCAGAGGGCAGTGCCTAACTTATTCAAGATTGTGATCTCGTTTTTTCACCTTTAGGAATTGCTTTGTTCAGGTAATGTTTCTAACCAAAAGAAAACAAACCCTTCCTCTGTTGTCTCCCAGTCCCAAGTACCTGTTGTTATCTCTAGTGGTCCCTCCAGCAAAGTATCTGAATGCTCAAAGTGAAGGGGGAGTTCAGGAATTTACACTATAATCTCTATAAGAAAACCTCTGGTTACAGCAGTGACCTGCTTTTTTGGGTTAGTTACCATTACGTCAACCTCACAACACAAGGGGAACCACATAAATCCTTTGGGGCAAGGAGTTTTACTCTGTTTTCCATCACCCTGGTGCAGGACTGTTGCTTGTAGATGCTTTTCGCAGAGCGTAAAATGCCAATTAGAGAAAAATCAAGAAGTAGTCCCATGAAAATCTTGAGTAAAGGGTTGAATTTATCTCTCCTAAAGATTTCTTGAAGATGAAGTAGTCCTCTAACTGGACTCACCTCTTGTAAAATGTGGGAAGAGACAGTGATTATTGCAAAGTTGAAGCACATGCTGCTAACTGAGATGCAAGGAAGGAATAAACAATGACTTAATGCCATTCCTGTTTCACAGAGAGCCATAAATATGGGGAGAAAGTTGCTGAGTAAGGCACTACTGCAGCAAGTGGTAGAAATTAATCAAGAGGTAATGCCACTTTTATAGAGCAAAAAGGATTCGGTAACAGACTGACTGAGCAAAGAGGTGGGGCTGAGATCAACTGAATGGGAACAGACAATTTTGACACTAAAGTGGCCACTTCCAGTGCAACCAAATCCTACCAGTGAAAATTTATAAGTCGTCTTTTGTACGGAAGGGGTGAACAGTGGGAAGAACCTTATGCAGTTTGTGACTTCACAAACCTATGGTGAACTAACTACCAAAGAGGGATGCCAGTAGGAATGTGCCTTGGAGACACCTGAAAGAGAGAAAAATCAAGCAGAAAGCATTGCAGTCCAAGTTAACAGCATGGCCAGTATGCAGAAATGAAGTGGGTAGAAAAGGTGCCTTCAAATACTACATGTGGACCTCCTCTCTTCTGGATCTGACCAGGTGAAAAAGTCTCCGCAAAAGATTTTGAGCTTTCGTAAATTTTCTCATCTGAATTGGGAAGAAAAGTAAACATCAGAATATGCTGAAGATTCTAGTACACTTCACTGTGTAGACCAGATGAAACACTGGGTTTTAAACTGTGATTCATTTCAATCTTCATCTTTTTGATTTGCAAACTTTTTTCCTGTAAACTGAAGTAACTGAAACTGAGAAAATAACTTGAAATTTTTTCCAAATAGAAAGTGACAAAACCGACTATGTTAAGCAATTTCAAAATTGGCTTAAAAGCGTTTTAAATTGACAGTTTTCACATTAAAAAAAAAAAAAACTTTTGTAATGCAAGATATCATTTAGGGCAACTTTTCATTTTCTGACCACAGCCCAGGAATGCTTCACTACAGAATTTCCCAGCTCCCACTCCTGGCTGTTGTATTGCAACAAATCGTGTGGGCAGCCCACAGTACTCTCAGTCAATACCCGTCTGACCTGGCTGTGCCCTCCGCAGTACAGGCCAGCTGGGCATCTCTTCATGCCAGGGCTATTTTTAGTGGGCAGTGCTGCCAAGGCAGTATGAAAGGAGCTTCATCAGAAGGAAGCACCAGCCCTGTTTTTTCTTGTCAAACACATGTATAAATTTTCCATTAAAAATAAAAAAAAAAAAAAAGACATTTGCACAAAAAAAAACCTGGTTGTAAAACCATACAGGCTCCAATGACAGCAGTTTTTGCACTTTCCTCCTTAAGGTAGATGGCAACTAAACCAGTGTCTTAATTTTCTTCTCTTTCTGCCCCAGGGAGACAGAGGCACAACTACTGTTTTATTCCTGTTTTGGTCACTGGGACCTGTGCTAATTAAGTTGTAATGTTTCATTTGCTTCACTGGTAGTATTTCTCTCTTCCTTTTCCCAGGATTTAGTGACTTTACGAAGTGCAGGACAGGCAGTGAAGAACAAAGCCCACACAGCCTGTCAGATTCTCCTTATTCTTCCACTCACTGGTCAAGGTGTATCCCAAAGCCAGCCAGAGCTGGCTGCATCAGTGATATGCAATCTCATAGCCCAGCCCAAGTATAAATAACCCATTTGTGTTGCTCTTGGGAGGTTTTTGAGGATTATTCTCTGTATCCTGAAAAGAAGTGAAACCTAATGTCCTGGGAAAGTCTGGTGTGTGGGAAGGATGTCCCTGCCAGGTGGAGATGGGTGCAGCCAGGCCCTGAGGGGGTTAGAGAAATCTGTCAAAGGCAACTTCCCTTCCTAACTCCTGCCAAAGAGAAGGACATTCCGAGGAGAGTGACATTCCACCAGCACTTGACTGCCAGCAGCTGATATTTCACAGCATTTTTTCCACCTGTTTTAAAAGTGTAACCTCTCATCCAATAGAAATTTATCCCGTCTCAAATACGAACATGAAAATGGGAGGGAGAGCCCTGCCATGGTGGAGCATAACACCTCGATCACACCAGTAGGCTCTGTAGCATCATTTGCACAGTTTGAGATCTCTGTGCCTTCCCCTCCCAAGGGGACCCCATGGATTTGCACGTATAAGATAAAGGAGACTTCTGTATCCTTGTGTCTCACAAGTGGGGATTTTGTTGTGAGGGAGTCACAAGAACACAAACATAACCTGATAGTAACATTATGACAGGACTGGGAGATAAAAGGTTAGCTCGAGGCAGCATCATCAGCATAACTGCATGTACATAATTCCTTACAGGCACTTGCTCTTGCTTATAGTTAGAAATCACGACTTGTGAAGTCTGAAGTTTTCCCAGATGATCTGTGCCATATCTTCACTCTTCCCTCCTATCAGAAAGCCTGTAACAAATGTCTAACCTGATTTTTTAACTTGCTACAATTTAAGCTCATTGCTGGTCACATCCACCAAGGAAATCTGGACAGGAGAGTTCTCTCCTATTCTCTTTTTATCATTCTCTTTCTGTTTGTGAAGAGAGTTACTGTACTTATCTTCAGTCTCTTCTTCCTCAGACCGAATGCTCCTTTATTCAATCGTGCATCATAAATCATGTTTTCACAAAGAGGCCTATATTTTTTACTTTTTTTTTCTATTTCTCCTTCACATCTTTATCTTCTGTCTACCTGATACTTGATCTGTCCCCAACCCTTTACCATAATTTATTTAATTTATCTTAATTATCTTCTCTATCAATTTTGTGGTTTTGTAACAGGGCTAGTTCTGGAGTTCACGTTTCTTCTTATTCTGCTTTGCCTTCCGGCTTTTGCAAAGGATGATCTTAAAGTATTGAAACATTCTCTGCCTGGTTAGAGGAGAAGTGTGGACTGAGCACAGCTTTACCAGTCAGGAGCTCCTAAGCTTACCTGTCCAGCCCCAGGCAAGGCAGCTGACCCTGCTCTTGCTATGAGCTTCTTAAGGACTTGCACGATTTTTAAAAATATGGCAGTTTATTGCAAGAAATATAAAATAGACCTGGCACTAGTCTGAAAATTTGAGCTAGTCTTTAACAGGTCAAGGTCTCCTAAGCAGCTCCCATTTTTCTGGTCAGAGGCAGTCTTTAACATCACTTTAAAGAACCACTCCAGAAACAGAAAGCTTATATATAATTAGTTCTCACAGGCTTCACGGCTGTCATAAGGCTGAGGGATATAAAGATGAAACAGATTAAATGTTGTTACGTGTCTCACATCCAAAAACCCGTATTGTCAGTCTTAACATTGAAGAGTCCCTCTGAGCCAAGGGATGTCATAGGCAGCTGGGTTTTCTGTTTGTGGGGGTTTTAATGTCCTCATGCAGCTCATGGGTACATTGCCCAGTACTGGGCTGAAGCACATGCAGTGTCTTCTGAACCTGCGTGTCAGATTCTCCACCGCCAGCTGTGCACATTTAAAAGGCAAAGTTAATGATTTTAAGTTAATCTAGGGATCTTTATTTAGGTAACTCATTGCAAGATAATGAATTCATACAAAAATTTTCCTTTTGTTCATCAAAAATATACTGTGGAAGACAACTCTGGGTCTGGATATTGTTCTGTTCAGTGCAAAGGACAGATTGTTGACATTCCTGGGTAATTCTGCTCTCTGGCAAAGGAGTGCTTCTTATCAAGTGCTCTGATGTACAAGTGCCTGAGGGCCTGTTCACATGGGAAAATCCAGTGGCATTATTCATACCTCTGCGCTGCAGAATATGAGTACCCACATGGGAACTCAGCAAGGGTATAATTATTTTGCTCTAGAAAAGCCTGAAGTAGCTTTATGTAATTTCTCCCCAGAAAGTTAGCCATGGCACAGGTAATGCAATGCCCCAGAGAAAATGCATTTGGGGACATCAGAAAGGACTGCTTTGTTCAAAAGCAACTCTTTACTTATGTGACAACACACTTGCCTACTTGAGATCTCTTTTTTTATCATACAGAGCACTCTGTCCCTGTTTTAAAAAAACCCATCATTCTACAGAGAAATTTAAACAAGCACCATGCATGTATTGTCCACACCCACCAACCCACTTTTTTTAGTTATCAATAGTAGTTTTGCTGCAATTACTTACACTTTTCTTCTGTAAATGCATCCTCACTCTGAGCACCACTCTCAGACAGATGCAGTGTCTACAGCTCTTGGTAAGCGAACAGTGTGCTGAATTCTGATGGAGAGGGATAGTGCTAGCTCAGGAAAATAATCAAGAACAGAATCCAGGTAATGTAAAACAATTTCACACTTGATAGGATATTAACAGGATGTACTGCACCTGCAGCCATGAATTTCATTTGCATAGCAGAAAAGCAATCTCTGTGCTGTAAATGTACAGTGGGTAGGAGGGATGGCAGAGAGGCTGGCATGTGGCCTTTGCAGTCCTGCCTTTTGTGTCTACTCTGCCCTTTGCAGTTCTCGTTGAGTGACCTGAAGCAGGTGGTATAACTCGGAGAGAGATTTCAGAGTCCTCTGGTGCCCCACGGCGTCCACGTGCCCTGGCTGAGCACACTCCTGCACAGCTTTCTGCAGCTGCAGCTGCAGGGGGAGGGAAACCAACGGTCCTCTGAGATTTGGGGAAAACCAGTGACGGAATATTTTGTCACAAATTACCTGAGAAAAGGAAAAAGAGCAGATTGTTGTAGCTATGACTAGTGCCCTGCTGTTTCCCTGGGACTGTAACAAAATGTCGCCTGAATCCAAAATACTCCTAGTCATTCAAAGAGGAAGGCATAAAAAAGGAGCATCCGCAAGGGCTACACTCTAGCTGAGAAATACCCCTCCTTCCCAGATTGCTCCTGCACTTCACAAATCTTATGAATGGCTGAGGAAGCTGAGGTTGTTTAGCCTGCAGAAAAGGATGCTGAGGGAGGACCTTATCACTCTCTACAACTACCTCAGAGGAGGCTGTAGTGAGGCATGAGTTGGTCTCTACTCCCAAGTGACAAGCAATATGATAAGGGGAAACGGCCTCAAGCTGTGCCAGGGGAGGTTTAGGTTGGATATTAGGAGAAATTTCTTTACTAAAATGGTTGCCAAACATTGGAACAGGCTTCCCAGAGAATTGGATGCGTCACCATCCCAGGAGGTATTTAGAAGATATATAGATGTGGCACTTAGGGACATGATTTAGTGGTGGACTTGGCAGTGCTGGGTTAATGGTTAGACTCAATGATCTTAAAGGTCTTTTCCAACCTAAACAATTTTATGATTCTGCATAACAAGTGGTGAGGGTAAAGGAGTGGGAGAAGGAAGCAAAAGGCCAACAAGCTACACTCCCCAAGCCTCTCTGTTGTGTTGGTGCCTCCCAAGTTCATCAAGTCCAACTGTCAGTGCAGTACTGCCAAGTTCACCACTAAACCATGTCCCTAAATGCCACATCTAAAAGTTTTTTGAACACTTCCAGGGATGATGATTCCACCACTTCTCTGGACAGCTGGTGCAATATCTGGCCACCCTTTCAGTAAAGGAATTTTTCTTAACATCCAAACGAAACCTCTCCTGGTGCAACTTCCCGTCATTTCCTCTTGTCCTATCTCTTATTACCCCAGAAAAGAGGCTGACCCCCAACTCATTACAGCCTCCTTTCAGGTAGTTGTAAAGAGCAATAGGATGTCCTTGAGCCTCCTTTTCTCCAGGCTAAACAACCCGAGCTCCCTCAGCCGCTCCTCATAACACTTGTTCTACAGGCCCTTCACAGGCTCTGTTGCCTTTCTCTGGACTTGCTCCAGCACCTTAACATCTTTCCTGAACTGAGGAGCCCAGAACTGAACACAGCATTTGAGGTGTAACTTGAGGATGTGTCTTTACTATCAGTGGAGGTGGCAATGCTAATCCCCTGCCCCTACTTCACTGTCCTGTCTGAGGCATTGGGCTAGCAGCTACACAAAAACATGGCAAATAAGCACTGGTGAATAGAAAGAGCTGTCTGTGTGCCCCAAGATGAGATTTCTGAACAGGACTGATACTTACTGGGAAGCATTTAAAAACCTGACTGTCTTCATCTCACAGTCTCCTAGTACATACCATGCATTTTACTGTCAATGTGATTTTAAAAGAAAGGGATGCATAAAACAGCTGTGTCTACTCACTTGCAAGTTGTTATTGGCTCTCTGTGCTCCACATTTTCTGATTTTCAGATTGCATTTTGAAAAGCAATCAAAAAAATTACAATCTTCATCTCCTGTGCAATTCTGTTCAAGGATGTCCCTCATTTTGGGTTCAAAAAAGGCCATATCCACATCAATGGCCACCACCTGTGGATCAAAACAACCCATGAGATCTGGCACAGCACAGATTGTAGGACAGGGCTGAGCAGGCGTTCTTTGCTGCTTGCTTCTGGAAATGTTGTGCAAGAGCATCTGCAGTGAGGAACTGGGATCAAAATAAAAGGGCGTTATTTCACTTAACTGAGCCACACTAGCCTTATAAATACCACTTTTTAAACAAAAACAGCCAAAGTTTATGACACCAGGAATGGGCAAATTATTTGTGGGCAGTATGCATCACTCGGGTCAGTTGGATTGATTTGCTTTAAACTGGAACTATTAATCACGAAAACTGATTTACTTGCTGGTACAGCATATGCAGGCGGCACCTCAAGCTTTTAATTACATGATGGTGCACGGTTATCCATGGGCCAGATGTCATCACTTCACGACTCAGCATTCAGACTAAACCCCTGACTCTGCCTCTGTGGAGGGGAGCAGCGGCACACCTAGGGTCAGCTGAACCTGTACTGCTCCAGCAAACCTGCCCCTGCGTTCGGTGGGTTTGAGTCTGTTCAGCTGTAGAAAGAGATCCCTGACTTTGCTGAAATCTGGTTCTGGCTTTGCCCAGTCCTGTTTTCCATGGTTTGACACACTTATTGTGCACAATTCTTGTTCGGATTGTCCAGAAATACGTCCCATAGCAGAGTCCAGCCAGAAGCTGGTCACAGCAGAAAAACCATGACTGAAGGGATCATTCATTCTTCTCAACCTGACACAAGGCTCACAAAAGCAGTGAATACACAGCACAAAGTGGTTTGCAGAACTGCTGCCTGTGCTGGGGATGACACCACTCTGGGAGCAGAGGACTGTAGTCCCAGTTTCCACCAGTGTCACTCCATCCATGAATGCTTCACTTGAAAAAATCCCAGCAATAAAGAGGGAAAGGAATCCACTAAGGGGATGGCAGCTGCTTGATGTGAGACAAGCTGTGGGTGACCACGGGGAAAGCAGCCTGCTTCCAGAGTTGTCATGGATGTGCATTCAGTCAATGTTCACAGCTGCTTTTCACACTTTACAGTCAGGATTGGGGATGCTCCCTGGCAGCATCTGACACACATTTTCAATGAGGAAAATATCTGGAACCTGGGCAAAGCAGAGTTACTTGGGCTCAAATGGTAGTGTCATTTTTAAGATTCAACCACCCAAATAACAGGGGAAGCTGAACTGTGTGACAGGAACAGCAACTTTATCAACACTAGGAACTAAAGATATCTGTTTTGGTAGGAGACCAAATAAACCTTCCACAGGCAGAAAAAGAACATGGTCTAATCTTCATTTTATTCTAGTCCTTTTTCCCCAGGGAAAAATCCTGAAGAAATGAGGCATTGCTTAAAAACTCAACTATTTTTAGGCTTTTTGGAGCTTTATGATGGTGACATAGCCTAAGGAATTTCACACATTTGAACAGGCAAATCTTTTTCCCTTTTCTTCTTTACTTCCTTAAGCTTTCTGCTGTTTTGCTGTCCAGTTCTTTGGAGAAGAGACAATGAAAGCAGTGCAGGGTTTCCCCAGTCCTAGAGTTGCTGCATCAGCTCCCAGGTGGTGTCTTTGCCAGCACTGAGTACATTTGACAATTTGATCTATTGGTCTGCTAGGAAAGCCAGCCCTGGTTCCCAAACACAGAGCTGCCAAAGGGTTCAGTGGCTTCACTGAAGTTTATCTACTACAAAAATGTAACATAGGCATCCAGCCAGTCCCCGTGAAAACAGATCTGGGTGACACTCTACCTATGAACGACTGCATTTTGGTGGGGTTTGTTATGATTGTAACTGATAAAGAAGGTATCTCAGGAATTGCAGGAAGGACCCAACTTGGCTGCTGACCTGATTTAAAGTCATGTTTAAGGTGCTGTAACCTTTCCAGTTCTCTTTGAAGTGCTGGTAAAAGAGGAAGCTCTCCCAGACCACTGTGCATTCACCCAAAACCTCCTTCTAACTCTGCACCTTATGGTAGCTCCATGGCAGCTTAAAATTCTCCTGGATGATCTACCAGGCAGTGATTTCTCCTCTCTGTGCTGCACGAGAGCAAGCGAAGGCTGGAGTGAGCACTGGAGGCTTATCCCCTCAAATAATCCTCAAAGTGAAACTATTGCACTCCAGGCAATTTCTTCAAGCTTTAGAGGTCTCATTACTCCAATAAGGAAGAGTGATACTATTATGGGTTTTATTATTTTCCTACACAGAGTACAAGAAACCAGCAAGTGAAAAAATAGCTTAAAACAAACATAAGGGGCAAAAAAGAGACTGCCTTACTGTGTTCCCATTCTGCAACTGATTGGTAAAACTACATAGAATTTCTGCTTCCTCCATCACTGATTAGAAACTCTCTGTCCTGTCCACCATCCCTTGTCCCTCCCCCCATCCTCAGCTGTCTGACTGTATCTCCTGTTTCTGGGCCTGGTGGGGCGATACCACCAAGTTATAAGTAACGTACAACTGGGAGAGCTGTGTGTGAGCAGCAATTCACTTTTTCTTAATTAATTCTCCTAGGAAATATTAAATTATCATATTTACCCATACGAGAAAATGTCTGTTGTCTCTTTGGACTCCAGAAGATCCTTTGGACTCACTGGAAGATCCTGGCAAAGCAAGACTTACCAAAAGGACTCATAAGGGAAGACATATCCAGGATTCTTCCTCTTTTCCTAAATGAAATCTCTTTTCCTGTAAGTAGGCTGTAAAACAGATGCTGTGGTGTGTGCTCAGCCACAGGCACCCATAGCCCTGTGAAACTGAGAAAGCTGGGCAAAGCCTGTCTGGAGGAATCCCTGCTGTACCTCGCGTTGCCCAAATACTGGTACAGCTTGTTTTAGTTTCTTGCTGTAGCTCATCACTCGTTCCCTACTCAGCTGCTGTATTGCACCTGAATAAACAATGGGAGGGGAGAGAAGAGTGAAGGGGAAGCACTCTAATTGCTCCTAATGGCTCCATGTTTAGGCAATGTTTGTCCAGTACTCTGAAGATACAAGTGTTATATCAACACTCAGTGAGTACCAAAACCAGTATTAAAGTCCCTGAAAATGCTTTCTATTCACCAAGAGTGCAGAAACTCCACTGATGTCACTGCAAATTGGTGTTCAAACACTTACTCACTGCACAGTGCCTCGTCTGTAGACACAATTCCAGCTAAAATCAGAGGAATTTCAGTCCACAGAAGAATGCAAGATACACGCAGCAATGTGGTGCTGAGCTATGTCACTATTTCGAAAACATGCATAGCTATTCAGGTCTGAGTTACAGCTGTGCAAGGAAAAGTCAAAGAGTAACAGTAGCAGGGAGTTTCCTGTCGCTGTCCTTGGATAGTTTCCAGACCAGGTAAGCTGAACATTGAAACACAAATGTGCGTGCTTGGATGTGGGGAGTTCCAGTTGTGTCAGACTAGGGAATCCAGCCTTTTGAGTTTTCAAATTCAAAACAGTTTTTTTCCTTTCAGCATCACTACCAGAAATAGTTGCCATGAATCAAATTACAGCTTCATTTACAGCTTTTGAGATCCCCTTGCCTTCAAGAGGCATCCCTCACCACATCCAAGGGACCCTGTCAGTACCAGTGCCTTTGAGGAGGTGAAACAGAACAGAAGTGAGCAAGCAATTCTCAAAACAAACAGCAGGATTTAGTGCTCTGAAACGTGGCTGTACACATTACAAAGAAGAAAAGCAGTAGAGGATCTCCCCTGTTGCTTGTAAATGCATTGGTTTTGCAGAAACTTGGCCAAAAGCTGTACGAGGAGGGAAATGTCATTTTTACACAGCCACTTTCAGACTAGAATTTGACCTCACATTGCTGCAACATCATCCCAAAGACGTAACTTACCGTAAGATCATGCCTGATAGCGAAGTTTTCGGGTTTAATGTCACACAGGTGAAGTCGGTGAGAGAAATCATTATCAAAATGCTGCACCATGTCCAGAAAGCTGAGTGCAATGTCAGTGATGGCTCTTACCCTGCTTTTGTGTCCGGTAAGGGAGGGACCAATCATGTTTTCCAAGGGAAAAAGAGTTTTGTGCCAGGCATGTCCAGCTGTGAGGTACTCCACAGCGTAAAAGTGTCCACAAGAGCCAATAATTCGTAGCACGTGTTTGCTGAAGTCCTGCAGCAAACTGAAGTAGATATATTCTTCCTGCTGGAGCAAGGACCACATGCTGGCCACCTGTGCTTTCCAATGTGGTCCCTTTTTCCTTGTCCACAGGGGCCCCATGGTGCTGTTAGACAGTTCTAGCCCCAGGGCATTTTTGACCTCCAAAGCCACCATCAGCAGAAGCTCTGCTTCAGGTATGTCCTGCGTTTCCACCTCCTCCAGCATACTGAGGTGTTGGTAGCTGGAAAAGACTTCTTTTTTGGATTTCAGTATGATGGGCTGGCCTCTCCAATCGGCCTGAATGACCTTCTTACCTCTGTCATAGTAAAGGCAGTGTTTGTACACCAGCTTCTGTGCCACGCACAGGTCTTCGCAGAGGTCTCCAGTCAGGGCTCCGCTGCTGTAGTCAAGACACTGGAGTGAAAGAGCAGAATATTCATAGCAGAACCATGTGCACATGGACCACGTAGAAGAAAGACAAACAATGAGCAACAATCCTAAGCTCTAGAGGTTTGCGGCAGCCGTGGAACCGCAAACACACACCTTCTACGACCGCTGGGTCGTTCAATTGTAACTACTGTGTTAAAGGGTAAGAGATAAAATGCAGCTACGTTAAAATCTACATTTACTGCACAACTACTTCTAAAATCTAAAAAAATTAAAAAATCAAAAACTCTAAGGCAACACAGTGGTTTTTCAGAAGCCTCTAGAGACTTTTTTCTAGTGAAGCCTTGCTTCGAAACAGGGATTCTTGGGATGGTAAAGGATGGGATTTTCAGGAGCAAGGAAATGGATTAAATGACCTGTTACTCTGAAGTGTTTTACACATATGAGCTCAGTGAGACAAACTTTAAATATACGTGGCTGTGCCACATGCAATTATGGACTGTAACACCTTAAGGCACAGGAGGTAACTTCCAGAGTAATGCAGGCGTTCTCCGGAAGGTTCAGGGGAGCAGAACTTAGACATCCCCACTTAAACTACAGGAAAATACATGGGTAGCTGGATTTCTGGGATCTTCCACAGCCCTGCATGTTTTAGCCTAGCACTCAACATGCCCTGAACGAAGCTGTCACAACCTTCTCCTGCACTACCACGAAACACAGAGGTTGTGCTCAATGCCCTTTGGACCAAGAACTTCCAGAATTTTAAAATATATAATGTATTTATTATTAAAACAATAATCTGCAGAACAAACTGACTTTTCAGGTTTTACATGTAATTATCAGTAGTGAAATTTTAGTATTAATTGCTTCAATACTTTTTTTTTTAATTGTAAAGTAATAAGCCCATCAAACAAGGAACTGCTGCTTGATAGTGAAGTGGTCATTGCAAATTCATACAAGAACTGCAAGGATTCCCTCACCAGTCCTTCCCTCAATCCACAGTTGTTTCCATGATATCATTTCCAAAAGTGGAGGCAGTTGATACATTCCTATGGACATTCAGAAGTGCAGCTGTAGGGACTGCTTTGGGTGAATCAGTAGAGGGGATGATCAGAGGTCTCTGGTGAAGGGGAATAGATGAGGTGGTGTAGAAAGCCAAACATCTGGGAGGCAGCTTGACGGTGTCAGCCGCCTTCACTGCTTTCTGGCATTTGAGCCTTAATTTAAACAAGTTGGCAGGTCCCCCTGCACATGGAGAATTTGCAGTGGCTGCCTGAGCCCCACCACACTTGTGACTTGCTGTTACATACACAAAGAACACGATCATAACATTCAAGTAAATTATTTTCTTCGGACAGTCTATGAGGTGTGTACACCAGAGGAATACGTTCTGATGCCAAGCAACATTTAGAGTTCAACCTTAAACAACACGCTGGGGAATGGGTGGAGGATTAAGTCCAAAATCCAAGAATGGTGATAAATTGACTGAAACAGCTCACTGAGGGCAGTTCAGACAGGCCAAATAAAATTTATTTCTATTTTGATGTTCTCCCAGGCCAAATGAGAACAGTCACTGCCAGCAAGGAGAGCCAGGTAGGCAAACTCTTGCATGAATGTCCTGACCCTGAGTCCACACATGTGAAACACACACACATCTGCATTGACATCCACATCAGGATGGCCAAGCAGACTCACTGAGTGTCTGCAGACCTCAGAGCATGCAGATCAATGCTCCTGCTTTCGAAAATCTACTCCTATGAATTCAATACAATTTTAGTCTACCTTTTTTAATAGGAAATATAGTTTTCTTAGCAAAAGTAGTTTAGCAGTTCTTACCATCTGGAACTCCAAGCAATTTTAGAAAGAAAATTACAAACAGAAGGAATTTTTGGGATTTTCTTTGGATTGTAAGTATAAGCACGTTTATAACTCTATTGAGAGACCACAACCTAACTCTCTTCTGCTACAGTATGAGAATTTAGGACTTAGTCATGTAATTGGGTTCATGTGGGTGAACATTTGCCCCTGTGGACAATTTTACTGTGGTCCATCAAATTCAGTCTTAGAGGGTCCACATGCATGGACCTCTTGCATCTAGAACACATGTCCATCACCTGTAGTCAAACACATAAATGTGTAGCTTATTTTTCTTGCACTGACATCATGTCATTCTTAATGGCATTCATGAGAAAAAATAGTTGTGGGAAAAGCAGTCTCACATTTCACAGACATAGGAGAAAAGTCCTTTTTGAACCTGGTTGCTGTTTAGGACTTGTCTGCTGTTTTTTCAGTTTAACCTATAAATCTTTTATTATTAACCTAGTATCTGACAAAGAATGTCTGAATCATAATCTTCTTTACAATGACCTTGTGCAGTATTTTGCAAACTGGGATATGTGGAAGAAAACTTGATCAAGGAGTTCATGGTCTCACAGTGATGAAACACAGAGCAGCCTTCCAGATGTAACATTCTCTACTGGTCACCAAAGCAAGCAAGGATTTCAAAAAGGCTCCCTCAAGTAAGCAGTCAAGAAGTTTGAACAATTTTCTATCATCAGCCTTTTAGGTATAGTCTGCACTGGTATTTCATCTTGAAGCAATTATTTGACCCTTACATCCTTTCCAAAGACATAGTTTTACAGTACAATCTTCCATCATATTGGCATAGCTTGTACTATTGTGCTCCCCAGTGTATTAGCTTGCATTTTACAGTATTAAAACACATTCTGGTGGATTGAAAACATTTAACCAGGTGATACAGATTTATTATTTACTAACCCAGGAACCTTTGCACTAACTGCAAACTTCACTACACAAGATTGTAATTCATCACGGTGATGGCTGATAAAAAGAATCATCAATTCGCCCAGGGAAATCTTTCAGAAATGGTCCTCCATGCTGCCACCCCTGTCTTAACAACTGCATTTTGAGATCTGTCAATGAGACAGTTTTAAATCCACCTAATGATTGCCCTCTTAATGCCACTAAGTGCCAGATTTTTAAAACTAAAATATTAATGTTATACTAAGCCAAAGTCCTTGTAGAGAAGCAGCTGTACTACAGAAAAATGCAAACACAAGCATGGTTTGGATTTACTAGTATGTTTCTGATTAAAATTGACTCCACAATTTTTAATGCCCTTAGTGCACTTATCAAGATAAGTTCAAAAAAACCTGGGTTTAAATTAATGTAAAAACTTAAATTAATGTAAACCCTGCTGAGGACTTATATAAATTTAAATAACTCACTGTTCCACCATCAGAGACCTGAGACTGATGTTCTGCCTTGTTAGCTAGTACTTCTCCTGTGTAAATGCAATACTGAGCCAGGTTTGGAAGGCATCAAAATAAATTGATTTCTCCAGAGGAAACAGAAATTGATTGCTATGATTTAGTGTGTTCAGTGTAAATGAAGATGACATTGGCATTAGGAAAGAGTGTTTTGTGGTTTTTTTTTGAGAGAGAGTTCAAGATGGTCCCCGCAAAATGCCTTGTGGTACTTCTGCCTTCTCAGTGCAGTACACATCTGCACAGATGTACATCTTACTCAGAATAAGGAAATAAATCATTTGGAAATGCCACTTGCCAGGGCATTTTCACTGACTTGCTTAAAATAGCTCACCTAATCTTCTACTGAAAATACAACAGATAACTAGTAAGACGGTTTTTCTTAGAGGCTGATTTTTGCATAATAAAAGGTGTGAGCCTCAAATTATCAGGTTATTTGTTTCGTAGATAACTGCGCTTTTATAACTTCAAAACTCATGGATTGCTCAGAAGATGTAGAAAGACTTATTTTGGGGCCAATGAAAATGAGCTCATTTTCTAATTATTCCATTAGAAGGACAATGTCTTTCTAACATCATCTGGGAAAACTATTGCTTTACAAACCTTAAAGACAGTACTGAAGACTTACCTACAGAGATAGACGAGCACAGCAACCTCAGCTACTCTTCCTTATGGAAGGAGGGTCTGTAACTGAGTTGTCACTCAGTGAATGGAGACAACTTTCCAAGCTTGCGCTTGAAATCTGATCCCTGCCGGGGCTTTTGAAGGCATGCCTAACCCTCTCCAAACTGAAGAACAGCAACAAGTCTCTGTCCATCTCTTTACTTGCGAGTGCGATGGCAGAGACCTGGACCTCCCTGAGTTTGGCAGCTCCGTGCTCCACCATATCTCAGTGATCTTCCCAACCACATAAGAAGGAGGCAGGAATCATTCCTTCAGCTGCAAAGCTGAGCTCAGCTGTACTTCAAGCTGGCTGCTGGGGTAAAGAAACTGGAACTCACTGCCGTTAAAAACACTGTTAGGAGTGCTGCCTATACTTGTACTTCCTTTATTATGCAGAATTAAGGAAATCTATGATCAGTTTTTGCTTGCTGGCAGTAATAGATTATTTAATTCCCATTAGGATTCCTCCCTTCCCACCTAACCGTTGGCAGTACAGATACACTAATTAAGAAACAAATCTAAACTCAAAGCATTAACCCAAGCTGCTTCTCTTCTCAAAGTGTTTCCTACACAATCCTAAATCCCTTTATTACTATTTTTAAGGGAAATTTTAATGAATATTTTTTTCTTGAATTTTGAATAATCGCACCTTTACACGCCAGCCGCCGCCAAACATACAGAGGGCGATACAAGCTGCCTGGCACTTTTGAAATACGACTTTTGCCTAAACACGTTTTCGGCTAAAAACAAAACAAAACAAAACAAAAACACCCGGAGGAAGGTTACCCTCGCTCCGGAGCGTGCGGCACGCCGAGCTGCCCTTTCCAAAGTGCTTGGGCAGCTCACCCGCATCCCACGCCCGGGATCCGGCCCGCCGCCTGCACCTGACCTCGCCTCGGGGAGGGAAGCAAGGAGGGAGGGAAAGAGGGAGGGAAGGAGGAAAGGAGATGAGGAGGCAGCCGCCCGCCCGTGCGCACCGTGGGGCGCCGGTGATGCGGCACCTCCGGCGGCCGGGGCAGGGCAGGGGCGGCGCGGCCGGCAGCGGGTGCTCGGCTCGGGGCAGCCCCGACGGACCGCCGGCGCCCCGTCCTGCCGGGCATTGCCCCGCGTCCCGCCGGGGCACGTACCAGCCTGGCCAGGATCCGGTGGCTTTTCTCGTCCGTGCAGCGCTCGGAGAAGACGCTCCTGTGGAGGAGGAACAGCGCGGCGCTCACCACCACCCAGCAGGCAGCCCAGAGGAGGAGCAGCAGCAGGGCGCATCGCCGCCAGATTTTGAGCCGCAGCCGCTTTAAGCCCGGGATGCCCCTCATCGTCGCGCCGGGACCGGGCTGGCGTGGCCGCTTCAGCTGCTGCGGCCCCGAGCGGGCGGCGCTGGGGGCCGGGGGCTCCGCGCTGCGCCCCCCGCACGCCCGTCCCGCTGCCCGCCCGCGCCCATCGCCCGGCGCCCCCCGCACCGCCGCCGGGATGCGCGTCCCCGCTCCCGCCGGCTCCGCTCCCGCCCCCTCCCCGGGCCGGGGCTGCCCTGGCGGAGCCCGGAGCGCCCCTTTTGAATTTAAGCCACGTAGTTCCGCCGGCTTTTGTCTGCGCTCCCCTGTGCCAAGCGGCCCCTGCAGCCACTTGGCGGCTGCTGCCCGCGCCCCCCGCCTCTCCTCTCCGAGTTTCTCACCCGAGAATAAAAGGGGTTTGACGGGTGATGGATGCTGCTGTGGGAATTCGTTCCCATCCAGGCGGCTGCCCGACGCTTTGAAACAGGCAGCCTGGAGACGGACGGGTCCCTCTTGTGAAAGCTTCGCCTCCTTACAAATGGGGAAAGAAAAAGTTGTTCATTCTAGAGTAACTTCTCCAGTTTTATCCTCCCGGAGCTAATGGAGGAAGAGAGAGAAGGGTCTCAGGTGCCCACACAGTAACGCAGTCCCCCGCGCCTCCACGATTCCCCCAAAGCTCCCACAGCCTCTCCTTCCCGGCCGTGGGTGCAGGCTGGCTCCTGCCCATCACCCCCGTGTCCCGGTCACCTCGGCGGCCGGCGGGGAATGCCAGCGGAGCCGCCCAGCAGAATGCTTCGCCAAAAGAGGGCAGCGTGTACTTGGTCCAAGGGTGTTGTAGGGATAGATTGTCTCCGTACCACCCGGCAGAGAGAGTACCTGTGACTCTGTTTAAGGAGGGGTCAGCACCATGCGACAGCCCCTAATATATTTGACTTCGTTAAGGTTTCTAAGGGATCAAAGACACAGATGTTTATTCCTGTGGAGCAAGCAAGATCTTGACGTTCTTTCCTCCCTCCAGGTGCAGATGTTCACTGTCTCTATATAGACCACCATATTCGTTTTTTCACCCTTGACTGCCACTTGACAGCACCTCACCATCACTGTTTTCAGTGTGAAAATTAATATACTTAAGTACAGCCCAAAGTAATAAGGGTATCTGCTTCAAGTTTACTGTCAGACATGATGAAAAAGGAACATGTTCATTTTTCTTTCCCTTTACGAATGGTTACCTCAGGCTACTTGCAATCCCATAGCTGGAAGATGAATTGTAGTTAATGAAAACACCCTGAGGATAAGTTGTTTATCCCAAATTAGTAACAATAGCAGAATATGGCCCATGAATGGAGTAATGCATAATAATTCAATAGACTTATTTTAATCAGTAAGTTGCTCTGGTGCACATTTTGTCAGTAAACTAATGTTAAAAAGTTCACTGTTGGAGAGCTAGGTTTAGGGGTATGTATTCTGTGTCATCATGTCCAGGTTAATATCTCTCTGAAAAGTCATTAAAAAGAAATTTTAATTGACATGATCTAATTCTACCTCTCAGAACAGTGAGAGGAAGAGCACAGGTGCATCAAACTTGCTATTCTTCACACCTTTTACATGGTTAGTGCAGTTCTCATCTACTATGCAGAGGAGAAGCTGAAGTACAGCTTTCAAAGTAGATGGCAGACTGTGGCAGAAAAGAAAATGGAAAGATAAAAGTATTGCTGAAAATACCCAGCTTTCTAGAGACTGGCAGTGGGGAGGGAGATGCAAGGAGAGCAAAACTACTTTGATCTCCAAAGAGAATCAGAAGCAGAATCATTATCGCAAGCCACATCTTCTATCCTTAGTGTGTTTTGCTTCATCTCTCCACCATCTCAATTCTTCACCTGTAGAGGCTGCCTTTGGCCATCCTTTTCAAAGGCCTTTCTGTCCTTGATCCTTTTACTGAGAGGCTTCTTTTTGAGGCACTGGCAATACAGCCTGTTTCTTGAGAATGTGTCAAGCAGCAAAGACCAACTAGGCAGCTAGGAACTGAAAACTTTTAATCCTGTTTCTCAGTCTGATACAAAATGCTCCTACAAGCTGTCTCTGAGCAGTTTGAGATACATATTTGGAAATTCCTAGGACAGTAAGTTGGGAAGGGCGAGAGGGAGGGTTGCTTAACCATTCCTCTGCGGGGATACCAGCTAAGCTTGAATACAGCCAACCTTCACCAGTGACTGCTGCCAACTAGGAGGGAACATTGCAGATCTGCCATACTAATACCTGGAACAATCCTGAGATGTATCCCACATATAAGAAGGATGCACCAGAGTGTCTCCCTACTGCTTGGTCCAAAGCTGTCTGGGTAATAGTTTAGGCACTATCAAACCCACCTCTATTTTGAAGTGTGGATCTTGACTTCTCTGTATGTCAGCATTCCCCAAAAGATATGATGTATTTTTATTTTGTGTTTGTGAAATTCTGTATATGTGTTATTTGTGTTTCAACAATAGTTCTGAAAACAGATCTTAATCACTCCTGACTTTAAGCTAGGAACAAAATATAGATAATTCAGGCTTGGTTAGGTGTCATAGCTGATCTGCTCTAATTTCTACTGAAAAAAACCAAGTATGTTCCTTCATCCTCCTCCACTGCCACCTCCCTGTTTTCCTCTTTGTCTTACCTGCCTAGTCCAGCCCCTTTCGCCAGTGAAAGATATTCCTTGCTGCCCAGTGAGCTCTCTCAACTCACTGACAGGTCAGAGAACTGTAATGCTGTTTCTTGCTGAGATTATTTCCAGAGAGGTCAGCAGGCCCTGGGGATGCTGCCAGGCATGCTGGCAGAGCTGGTGCAGGGAGGCACATTGCAGGGCCAGGCACTCTGGGATGCTGGAGGCAGAACTGTCCCACTGGCTCAACTATATCAAATGTCTGCCCCTTAAGGAGGGGCATACTATGGGTAAGGTGATATAAATGGTAATGATTGTGTAAAGGAGCAGTTCTGTCCCTGTTTTCAACCCAGCCATGTGCTGCCACTGCTCCTTAGGCAGCTGGATCAGGAATCAGCAGGCACCATCAGTAGGTTTTTGATTGCATTTTTCATTTCCTCCCAGGATACCAGCTAAAATTCACTCAATTCAGAGATCTATAAGGAGCCCACATCCTCCTCTTTGGTTTGGTAACAGCTGCTACACACAGCAAGAGCAATTCTTCCTGTAAAATGCAGTTGTCTGCTGCTTTGAAATTATGGAATGTGAAGAAACAGACTAAGAAAATAATAATAGCTTTTAATGTAGTTCTATTACAGTTTTTAATAGTTTTAACTAAAAAATAAAAGTACAAGATGAAGGGAATTAATGAAGCAAATGCCGGTTGCATGGTACTCATACTAGATAGTATACCAGTTTCATTGTATGGTAAATCCCACAGGATACAGCATTCAGGTGGGGGAAAGGGCTGTATCTAGGTGTTCAGCCTCTGAACTTTCAAATATCTCACCAACTTCTGTCGGAGTGAAAAGCTGGACAAGTCTGGTAAACAAGTACTTGTGAGTGCACATTAACCTTCTTGTAGCAAGTACACAGAGACCTTTAGAACAGATTAAGTGACCCAGAAAGCTTGGATTTGACAACAGGTAAAAGCCTAGGTACTTCAAGATCAGGTGGTTTACCCTTTGATAACAGTTTATTGCTAGCCGTAAAATTCAAGTCTAGTTTTAGGTTTTCCTAAACGTCAAGGTTCTTAAAATTAACAGAGTTAATTGTAATCCATCCTCTGTAAAATATGTATGAGTGTCTCTCTGAGCCATAGACATTTTCCTTTGAAAAAGGACTCTGCAAAAAAAGGCCTCTCTAAAAAAGAGAAACTTTCCTTCCTGAATGTATTAAAATGTGGCTGTTTCACTTTGCAATCCCGTGTTCCTAAAGGAAACTATGCTCCTATTCTTATTTTAACTGAGAATTAAACTTGATGGAAATAAATTAGCAGACTTCGAATTAAGGTAAGCAACGTTAAGGACAGTAAAAATAATCAGGATTAACTCTATTAGTTCCTACCCAAATAATCTTTGAATTACTGGTTAGAGCACAATGCCAACATCAGGTTGGTCTCCTCTTCACCACTGTGCTGGGCATATCACAAAACTGTGCATCAATAGTGGCAGTTCAGAGATGGGATAACCACAGGGTTCTGTGGCCAGGAGTGAGATGCCTTGGTCTACACCCAGAGGTGAAGGGTCTGGCATGATGTCTACCTGTGCTGTCTGCCCATGTGTGGGCTCAGCAGCTCCTCAGACAAGGGCCGTGAGGAGTCCTCAGTCCAAGGAGCTGCTGAACCCACACATTTCTCATCACCTGCAGACACAAACTGCATTGCAGGCTCAAGTTGTATTAGGCTGTTAGGCCTTGTTTTCCTAATTACCTAATTCTTCATGAGAGTTTAAAAGAAACAAAGCAAATCAGTCATTAAGAACTACCTTGGCACTCAAGTTAATGGAATGTAATACTGGTTCATTAGGAGTTATTGTTCTGTTTGATTGATTTTATCACCTGCTGTCATTAGCACTAGATTGTCTATGGAAATAGAGCTTGTGTCTGCCAATCTTTCACATGGCACATATGAACCTACTGTTTTCCTGCTAGGAGCTCAAAAAACTTCTGCGTGCTGTTCAGATCTACCTGTTTTAACATACAAATTTTTCTTTCTGATTTCCTTTGGCCAAGCTGAGCAACTGAAAAACATCACAAGGTTATACATAGGTTTGAACATGAGTCTATGTCCTTTAGGCAGTGAAATTTCCCTGCAGAGTACTGAGTCTACCAGAGAACTGAAATGTATTTTCTCATTTATGCCATTAATCAAAAAGAATATGTTGCAAACTACTCACAGAAGTTTTATGGTATCAGAGAGCAGTGAGTTTATTGGGTCACACTGTGAACCAGAAGCAGAAAAATGGCACAATATAAAATGCAGAGTATAGCTTTGTGGGCAAGGGAAAAGCCTGGGGTAATTCATCGACTTAAACAAGGCAAAGTGTTTGGACAGAAAAGGCTTTTCCATGGATATATAGAATAAAGAA